TGTTTTTAAAAAAAACCCCCCCCCCCCCCCCCCCCCCCCCCAGCTCTACGCAAGGAGAGGCAGATGAGGAAGGACGACACTTACTTGACGAGCCTGCATACTCGAGTTCTTTAATTCGTGCTCGGAGTTCGGATAAGGCCTTTTTCTGACGCTGAATGATTTCCTCGTGCCGGGACCCTTTGCACTTGGCCCCCAGGTCGCAGAAGGACTGCTCCTGCGGTGAACGGATGGCGGCTTTACTAGGGATGAGAGCCTCTCCCTTACACGTGGAGAAACGTGAACAATTCACGCGCAGCAGAAACCTGGGCACCGAGTACTTTGGAAAGTACCGTTAAGGGGGCTTCAGCTGAGGAGGAATTTCAATCTTTCACTTCAAATGTAAATTCACAGCTCGGAAGATTTCCAACTTTCCTCCCTGCTTAGCACAACCGTAAACAAAAGATCCCCTCCAGGTTACCTCCCCACGTCTTGTTTATATTTCTTCTAAGCTCGGTTTCCATATGTTGTCATTCTGGGCTCATCTCTGAACAACACATCACATTCTGCTCTGGACGGACACGTGTAGACGAGAACACACAGGATGCCTGCTTCTTCACTGGTAGTAAGGATGGTGGGCTAGTATTTGCCAGGGGGGATTTGGTAAATGGGCTCTCGGCTGGTCTGGAGAGAGGAAACGCTTCCCCGGAGCCCCCAGGAGCCCCCAGAACAGCGTGTCCAGCGGAACTTCTGAGATGGAGGGAGCCTTCTGTATCTGCACCGCGGCCTGGCAGCCGCCAGCCACACAGCTGGAACCGGGTTTACGAAGGGTACAGACAAGGGAAGGCCTTCCTCATCGTCTGGGGGCCGTGCACCCCTTTGAGATTCAGCGGAATGCAGGGTTCCTTCCTCCAGAAAAATCCATGTACACACAACGCAGTGCATACAACTTCTGGGGGTTCAGGGGTCCCCCTGAAGACCAGTCATGTTACGTGTTGTTAAGCAACACTTCTCTCGGGTAAGCAATTCACCTCTGCGTGCCAAGACTTATTCTAAGGCCCTGGGGACGCAGCAGCGAGTAAAACTGGCCGAATCCCCACTGTCCTGGATTCTGTATCCCGGTGTGGGAGACAGACAACAAGAAAGATAAGCAGAGCCCTGACCGGTTTGGCTCAGTGGATGGAGCGTCGGCCTGCGGATTCAGGGGTCCCGGGTTCGATTCCGGTCAAGGGCATGTACCTTGGTTTCGGGCACATCCCCAGTGGGGAGTGTGCAAGAGGCAGCTAATCGATGTTTCTCACTCTCTATCCCTCTCCCTTCCTCTCTGTAAAAAATAAATAAAATATATTAAAAAAAAAAAAAGAAAGATAAGCAGGGAGATGTAAGGGGGACAGTGGTAGGTGTTAAGGAGAGAAAATGGAAATGGGATGGGATGTTAGCAATGGCGTTCAGTTGTAGATAGAGCTGCTAAGGAAGGTCCCAGGCAAATGGCAAGAAAGGGAAGGAAATGACCATTTGGTTCTTTTACTTATTTATTTATTTATTATCTTAAATATATTTTTATTGATTTCAGAGAGGAAGGAGTGAGAGAGAGATAGAAACATCAGTGACGAGAGAGCATTGATCGGCTGCCTCCTGCACGCCTCCCACTGGGGATCGAGCCTGCAACCGGGGTATGTGCCCCGACTGGGAATCGAACCATGACCTCCTGGTTCACAGGTCGACGTTCAACCACTGAGCCACGCTGGCTGGGCCAGACCAGGCTCTTTCATGTGTGGTGGGCACGGGTTCTTAAGAGCAGCAGGAGAGATCAAGCCCCAAAGCATAAACACTTACCTGCCTTGTATTTGTTCATATCCCATGAGACAAAGCAAGTCACGTGGCCAGAGTCAGTTTGGGAGGGGCTCGGATTTTTACAGTCTACCCACATCCAGTGTTCTGTTATTTGAAACAATGCAGCAGGGCAGCGAGGCTCGGGGGCAGCCTCTACTCCGCATGAAGAGCGCGCCCGAGCCCGGCGTGACCCCAACTCACGGCCCTCTGGGAACTTGTTTATTTAGGGAACATGGAGATTCTTTCTCATACAACTCTTAAGCCCTCTGACCCACTCTGGCTTAGAAAGCAGGAAGTGGCCAGAGGGAGGAAACCGTTCTGAGAAGGAACAAATACTTTTTCCCTTTTATCTGGCTCTGCTAATCCCATCCCATAAGGGAAAGTAATAACAATCCATCCCAACAAACACGGGTCCCCTGTGGGCAGAAACCCCGTGCGTCCTCCCCTGAGCCCAGCACAGGACCTGGCATACAGCAGGTGCTCAATAGTTGTTGAATGAATGAATGAATGAATGAATATGGGCCAGGTCTCGCACTAAGGGCCTGGGGTTCCAGCAGGAGTGAGACCTGCTCTCTGCCCCACGGAGCTCAGCCCATCGACCCGCTGCAGCCCCAGCTCATGGCCACCCTGAGCAACAAGGAGATGCTGTTCAAGGGCTCTGGACAGCGGTGGGTGCCAAGGACAGCTGCTGGGCTGCGAGCCCTTTCGTTTGAGCTGTGTGCGGCCCTGGCTCACGGCTGCTTGGTAGGAGGGAGGCATCTGTGAGGACGCGGGAAGGCAAGCTGACACATTTGGCCCCGTTTCCAAGTGAAAACCCAAAGCCCGTGACTGAAGCGCCCTGCTCTCTAGTTTCATGAAGCAAAGCGGGGAGTCACATCCGGGGCCTCCCGGAAACCCGGGGCCTCCAGGGAGCACTGGGCCCACAGCAGCCCGCCACGGACAATGGGAGCAACACAGCCCCAGCCACGGGGCAGAATGTGAGTGCCACCTTCGAGGGCGGCGTGATGGAGGCTGTTCTCACACGCACTCCCTGTTGCTGCGAGGCTGGGACTTCAGGCCCACGGAGGTTTCAGGGTGGGGACCCGAGAGAAGTCGCCAGGGGACAGCCACGGAGCATGAATGGCGGTGCTCTTTGGGAAGGCAGAGTGGCCCTATCGAGCGCAATTTAGGCTGTCCTCTGGACCCAGCAATTTAGATACAGTATTTTTGTTATTGTTGTTAATCCTCATCCAAAGGTATTTTTTCCACTGATTTTTAGAGAGTGGCAGAGAGAGGGAAAGACAGAGAGAAACATCAATGTGAGAGAAACACATTGATTGGTTGCCTCCTGCACAGGCCCCGACCAGGGCCTGGGTCGGGGAGGAGCCTGCAAGCAAGGTACCGCCAGCAATTTAGATACAGTATTTTTGTTATTGTTGTTAATCCTCATCCAAAGGTATTTTTTCCACTGATTTTTAGAGAGTGGCAGAGAGAGGGAAAGACAGAGAGAAACATCAATGTGAGAGAAACACATTGATTGGTTGCCTCCTGCACAGGCCCCGACCAGGGCCTGGGTTGGGGAGGAGCCTGCAAGCAAGGTACCTGCCTTTGACTGGAATTGAACCTGGGACCCTTTGGTCCGCAGGCCGATGCTCTATCCACTGAGCAAACCGGCTAGGACAGGATACAGTATTAACTACAGTAATGTGGGAATGCAGAAGCCACTGACATCTCCATCAACAGGGGGCTGCTTGGACAAAAAGGGACACAGTGGATTCTATGCAGCCATTTAAAAGCAGAGGTAGCCGAAACCGGTTTGGCTCAGTGGATAGAGCGTCAGCCTGCGGACTGAAGGGTCCCAGGTTCGATTCCGGTCAAGGGCATGTACCTGGGTTGCGGGCACATCCCCCATAGGAGATGTGCAGGAGGCAGCTGATCGATGTTTCTCTCTCATCGATGTTTCTAACTCTCTATCTCTCTCCCTTCCTCTCTGTAAAAAATCAATAAAATATATTAAAAAAAAAGCAGAGGTAGATCTTACTTGAAAAGATGCCCATTCAATAGTTATGTGTGTAGAATATATATGGCTTGATACCATTATTTCGCAAAAAAAAAATCTCTTAAATAAATATATGTATGGAGGGAGGAAGGGGAGATAAGGACACATATGTAATACCTTAATCAATAAAGAAAATTTAAAAAAACTTAAAAAAAAGAAGTTAAAAAATATGTACAGGGTGGGATGCAAAGTAGGTTTACAGTTGTGAGTACATGAGACAGTTTATTCTTGTATTATTATTTATTAACTAGAGGCCCGATGCACAAAATTCATGCAAGGGGCTTGGTCCTCGCAGCCGCGGCAGCTTGCCTTGGCCCTCGCAGCCATGGCTTTGTCCGAAGGTCGTCCAGAAGGTCGTTCAGCTGTCTGGTCTAATTAGCATATTACACTTTTATTATTATAGATTATTGTATAATTTTCCATACGAACTGTGAGCCTACTTTTGCCAACCCCTGTATATACAGGTCTGTTTGCGCTGAGTTTATAAATAAAATGTATTTCTCAACAGCCCCATGAGGTGATTAGTGAGGGTCACTTCTTCCACTTTCCGGACGAGGGAATTGGCTCAGTGACCTCCTGAGGTCACAGTTTCTGAGAAGAGGACCCAGGCAGACTAGACCCGAGCCCCGTCTCCACCCACTGCCCAGTCACGCTGCGTAAGGATGTGCAGGGGCTGCTGGCGCCTGTGCCAACCTGCTGACAGCTGGCACCTCTGGTGACGGCATTGGAGGGGCAGGACTCCTGCTGGTTTACTGGCACCTGGCACAGAAGTACGTCCTTGGCATAGAAGCACATGCTGATTTGGGAACTTAGAATGTTTTCCAAAGCCAGGAAAGCCACCACCGGGCTCTTCCTTCCTCAGCCTGTCCTTTGGGTGCCGGGGGGCGGGGGGGGGGGCGGACACTCACCTCCTGGCTGCTCACGAAAATGTCGGTGATGATGGGTTCCATCTGGTCACACGTCTGGGCCGTGCTCCTGGGCCTCGGCGGCTTCTCCTTGGGCGGCTGGGGCCTGCGTTTCTCTTGGGAGGCTCTGGGGCAGAGGCGATGCGTCACGGGGCTGCACAACGTTCCGGGGGCCACGAGTTCCCACCCCCACCCCGCAGGACAGGAAAAGGAGCTCCATTTTTATGGTAACCGAAGTCTCCCGGCCTTCAAGTCTCCTGCCCACAGATCGCTAGGGAGTTTAGTCTCAGGGGACTTGCAGGAGAGTGGCCAGGGTGCCGGGCACCCGCCTGCCCTTGCTTCCACCTGGGTCTGCGGGACACCTGCTGTGCCCGTACGGGGGCATTTCTTGTGTGTTGCTCTTTCCTACTCTGATGGGTAAGTCCTTCCAGGTCTCATAACAGCCCTTCGTCCCATGATTGGGGGACGCTCCTGGCCCTATCTGACAGACAGGAACAGAGACACACAGCAATTTGCCGTGGTCACGGGGCTTGTAAGTGGAAATGCCTGGCTTTGAACCCAGACAGCACGGGTCTGAAGCCTGTTCTTTTAACCACTGTGGACTCTGCTTTTGGCCATGAGCCCCGAGGCACGAGAAGCCACAGGGTCTACACAAGACATCAGTTTTGCTCACACTTTCTTGGGGGAAAACATTATTTTTATGTCAACATTTGGACAAACTATGGATGAAAATGCAAAGTCACATGTACTTTTTAGACAAATCCATGGGACGGGGATATTTAACATTTCTTTTGAGCTGACCTCGGACACCCCCAGTCGATACGTTTGTTTAACAAATATTTATTGATTTCCTTCAGTGCTAGGCACTGCGTGACTGCCGGGAGGCAATGCCAGGCAAGGCCTGTTCTCAGGGAGAAGGCAGACTATTGAATGGGCAATTAAACACAGCCTGACTGAGAAGTTAGGGTAGGTGAAGTGAGGGGCTGCGGGTCCCAGGCAGAGCAGGAGCCCTTGTCTATATTTGGGGCGGGTGAGTGACAGAGGACTTCCTGGAGGAAGTGGCATTTAAGCCGAGACCTGTCATCTGGAATATTGGGCAGGAATCTTTGGGAAGCACAGGACTTAGCAAAAGGCCTGTTCTACCTGATAAGGCTGTGGAGCAATGAAACACATCATTCATTCATCCCTTCATTCATTCTTCGTCCATCCATCCATCCATCCATCCATCCGTCTACCCACCATGCATCCATCCCACTTCTCAATCAGCACTTATTGCCCGCCTCTCTGTGCAAGGCTCCCGGGGCACTCAGGTGTACCTGGGCCCTGCACGCCATGCAGACCTCCTCACACACCTGAGTGCCTCCTTGAGGTTCTCCAGCTCCCGGTCCTTCTTCTCCACCAGGCTGGTCACCTGGGCCATCTTTTCCTTGAGCGCACCCAGCTCTCTGTTTTGCTGTTGGACCAGGGCCACGTTCCTCTCCAGTTCCACCTTCTGCTTCTCATTAAGCTCCCCTGGGAGCGACAGGAAAGCTGGTGAGGGGGTGTCCTGCCTGGGGTCTCCACGAGGGGCCACAGCAGGGTCCTCTGCCAGGGTTCGAGACCCACGAGACCCACGAGGAGGGCCCGCCCTCCAGGAATTCTCTGGGGGCTTCAGCAAGAGCCAGGAGGTCTGCTTGCGTCTGAGCAAACAACTCCTGTGAGTGCTGGCTCTAGGAGGACCGTGTGCTCCTGCCTTAGCCTAGTATTACACCGCAGGTGCTGTCTGTCCCCGCCCCTGTACCTATGGCACTTTAGGGCACTCCGGCCACTTTCCGCTGCCTGCTTCTGCATCTCTTTGTCTAAGGCAGTGGTTCTCAACCTTGGCTGCACATTAGAATCACCTGGGAATCTTTTTAAAATCCTGATTTCTGGGCCTCATCCTCCGGAAATTCTGTTTCTTTGTTATGGGGTGGGGCCACAACACCCATAACAAAGAAACAGAATTTCCGGAGGATGAGGCCCAGAAATCAGGATTTTAAAAAGATTCCCAGGTGATTCTAATGTGCAGCCAAGGTTGAGAACCACTGCCCTAGAAGGAATACCTGGCCCTGGGTCCCAAAGCTGGTGAGTGTGAGGGCTTGTGCAGGTGGCCCTGCCCCAGGAGGGAGCCTTTGATCTGGGGGCAAATTCTCAGTGGTGACAGGAGAGTCTCCCCGAAAAGGAGAGTTGGGCCTCATCGCAGAGGTCCTGCGCCCTCTGGGGAGTGACCCATGGCCCCTGGATATGGAGTCAGGGCCATAGTCGGGATCCAGCTTTTGCTGACCCCACTGTAAGTGCTGTGACGCCCAGGAAAGCAGACTGAGCGGGGCTTTTAAGGCCACGCTGTCCAACTCTTCAGCCCCATTTCTTCCCTTCCTCAAAAGTGGGCCAGGAAGTCAAGGGACCCGGGCAAGTGTACGAACCTCTCAAATCTGACATTCGGCTGTGGGCTTCCGTAAGGTTTTTCCTTAAGCTCATGATGACCTCCTGCTGAGACAGGATCTCCTTCTGAGCAGTCACCAAGTCCTCTCTGCAAGTCACAAAACAGGCAAAGCCGGGTCAACCCCGACCCGTGGTGTCTCAGTGCCTGGAAGGGACCAAGCGCAAATGCCAAGTGATGCTCCACCAATGATGGTCCATGGGATACCGGTCCCAGCAACGGGATAAGCACGTGCTTTAATCATTCTCAAAACAAAATTCATTTTTATGTTCATCACTGAAGATAAATACATTGCGTCCAGCTGGCATGGCTCAGTGGGTGAGTGTCGACCTATGAACCAGGAGGTCAGGGTTCGAGTCCAGTCAAGGGCACATGCTTGGGTTGTGGGCTCGATCCCCAGTGGGGGATGTGCAGGAGGCAGCTGATCAGTGATTCACTCTCATCATTGATGTTTCTATCTCTCTCTCTGAAGTCAATAAAAATAAAATAAA